GAACTTAGGATCTATTATTTTCTCTATTTCCTTTTTCTTTTCTATCAAAGGACTTTGTGCATTGTGATTCTAAAAGAGGAGGAAAGATTTGCCAGCTCATCTCAGTTGGCAAGGTTTGGAGCATTTCTTTAACCAGGCTGTTGAGAAAAGAGGGGAAAAAAAATCTACCACTACGATTTTCGTATATACAATGCAGACATATGATTTTGTACATCCCACTGATTCTAAAGTTTATGCAAAAGGAAGTAAGCTAGCTATATTTCCCAGCAAGAAGATTAAATGAGTTATATAACTTTCACATGAACCAATAGCTAGAATGAAAATCTTGTGAACTAATGTTTGCTAGAATCAAGAACCTGTGGACAGTTTCCAGTGGGAAGAAAAAAAAATTATTAAGGGAATTAGGTTTTGTCAAGACATCACAGGGTCAAGACACTCTGTGTTTGTGCATGCCCATGCAAATGTATGTGTGTGAAAAACAAGAAATTTCAAACTCCTGTATGTATCCATAGCACTGTAAAAAATATCCACTGCATATCGATCAAACATAATTCTTCTACCTCTATAAAGTGAACATCAGATCAATAATAAAAATGTATGCTATGAAGCAGAAGGTTTAAATGAAAATAGTCTTTTACCATTCCTTTATTTTATGTTAAGAACATACACCTTTTGGCTTGAAAAGTAATTTGTCATTTGTTTATATTTCTTGCTGAATTGATGTGAGCTCATGTCTTTGAAAACAGGACTAATGAGGACAAAATTGTGGGTCTGAGCACAGGTTGGGCCATTAGCTTTGCATAAAGGAAACGCATTAGGTACACAGCAATCAGCCTCATCACGTACCATATTGGGTTATTAAGCTTGAAAGATCTTTTGTTAATTCTAGGTGTGGGACTGGTGGCAGTTGCCCCTGTAAGTGATACAGCCATCACTTGGAGAGTGCTTTGGAACTTTAAAGATAAGAGAAACCTTTTCTTTAGTGGAAGATTCCTTTTTACATGCCTTTCTGTTCAAACCAATAATATCTTGGATATGCTTATTTGACAGCACTTTTAACAAGGTGACCTTTCTTTTCCCAAGTTCAATAGTACCAAGCTGTATTGTCCAACTTGTTCAGACAATGATGTCCTGGAAATCATTATGTGCCTTTCCAATGACCATGTAATAGTGATATATTTAATTACTGTCAAACATAAACCTCTTTCTCAGCAGACAATTGGTAGCATAAACAAATGACATAAGAAAAAATGAATTCTATCAATTAATTTGATGTTTGATGAACATCAAGTTTAGTGAACTGGGAAAAGATTAGTTGATTTGAGTGGCTGGGCAACTTGTCCTAACCCACCACCACCACATCACCACCGCCGGTTGCTGCTTACTTGATTCTGACTCATGGAAACCCCATGTGTAGCAGAATAGAACTGTACTCTGTAGGGTTTTCAAGGCTGTAACTTTTCAGAAGCAGATTTCCAGGTCTTTCTCCCAAGGGGCCTTCTGGGTGAGTTTGAACCACCAACCTTTCATTTAGTAGTCCAACACTTAGCCATCTGCACCACTCAGAGGGATACAATTAGAGATATCCTGACACCCTTTGCAAACGGGCTACCAGCATCCCCACTTTTCCCCTGCACCTAGGCGTGGGAACTTGGTGAGGGGTTACTAGCTGCTAACTAGTGAGTCAGAGTGGGGAGTACACACTGTTCATCAGCTCTTCTTGCTTTCAGGCTCCCCATGGAGGAGAAACCAAGCAGAGAAATCTGGTCTGCTGCCAGCAAAAAACTATCATTTTTGTCAATGCGCCTTTGCTTAAGACTCCCAAAAAACCCAAACCCCTTGCCGTTGAGTCGATTCCAACTCATAGCAACCCTATAGGGTAGAGTGGAACTGCCCCATAGAGTTTCCAAAGAGTAGCTGGTGGATTCAAACTGCCTAAGACTATATCTTCGATTTTCTCCAATGAGAAGCCAAGGGAAGTCACTTTGCCTACACACAGTTAAGAAAGGCAGTCACCCAGTTCTGCCTCTGATTTTGCTTTCTACACTTCGGAAAGTTGTTTAACTTCTATGAGTTTCAGGTTCTTCTCTAAAACATGCATGGGTAATAATAGCCTCCCTTAAAGTTTCTTTCCCCTCAATTTCCAGTGAAAGTTTCTTCATATCTCATACCTACCATGAATAGCAATTTAAAACAGCCTAAACTTCTAGAAGAAAGGTAACATTTGAATTGTCTATGGTATCACTGATTTGAGACCTCGAATCATTTTTCCTCAAGAGTTGATCCTTCTAGCTTCTTTTTGTTACTTAATTATGGTCAGAAGTAATGGACAAGGCTTGAAATAGGTGCTTTGGGCTGATGTGTGATGGAATGGGATTCGCTCATGTTTTTGTTTTTGTTTTTATTTTTCATTTTAATTATTAAGACCTTGGGAAACTATGTTGTAAAGCAGAATATTATTACTCTAGAGTATTTTACTGACATGTTAATTCATGCTATGTAAAGCAGATGTAAAGTTCATTCTCAGAGGCCTCAAAATGAGTCATTCCAAAGGAACTCTGTAGTGCCTCCTGTCAACCCTTAGAAATTGGTATATTAATGTCTTCTCCCATTTTCTGAAGGCTTTTGGGTAGTACATCATGCATTTAATTCTCAAGGAGATAATTTGCTATCCAATTTTATGGCTCTTCTTTGATGTCGGTTACCCCAAGACATAGCGTCGTAAATACTCACTCAAACTCCATGAATTGACTTCAAGTGATTGTTCTATAGTTTGCACTGCTAAAGAATTCATAGAGAATAATTGAATGGCTCATAGTGAATGTAATGAATCTGGGGTACTTCCATTCATGGACAAGAAGTAACATTTGTGAGATGTTTGTTCCTAGACATGGAATTCAAATACACTCTAACTCATTTTTACTTTTAAAATTCTAGATTAAGGGACATATACTCCTGTTAGGTACCTCAAGAGTGCAGACATAGATTCTTTAAAGACATATCCTTAATTTTCTGGTTTGTATCCTCTTTCACAAAAGTACTTTCCTCAGAGCCAGATAGCTTCAATTGACATGTGGTCCGCTTCTGGCTAACCTGAGGTGTGCTCCTTCCAGGAGGTGGAACTTGGCAATTAACTGATTTCTCCTAGACAAACATAATATACCCAAGCACAAAATAAAAGTGTTTGGCAGTACAAAACCACAGTGAATTAGCAAAGCGACAAGTGGCCTGACAGGATTTAACTTAAAGGCAGATATCCCATCTTCCTATTCCTTTACCCTTTTCATCATGGGATCTTCTGCTGTCCACAATTTTTCTTGAGAAAGCTCTTTTTATTTCAACGTAATTTACCTAAACCATTGTGAAAAAAATTTTCCAAAACCATTACCAACCTTTTGTGGAAAGAGAAAGAGTAAAAATAAAAGAATCAATTAACTAAATTGACAGGACCAGTATTTTTCTCCTTTTCTATGAGTCACAGAAGGAATCACTCAGCATTTCTGAGACTTATGCAAGTCACAGACACCTTTCTTGAAACTGAAGTTACTGCTTGAATTTATTATACCTAAAAGATATTTGTAAATATGCTGTTATCTATAAGAACAGTTTGACAATGCCCCTTCCCCCAAGTTTCAAGGCAGTGACTATTCCTCACCACAGATTCGCCTAACAATCATCGTATATAGAATCTACTGTCTGTACTTGGAAGTGCAAAACCTCCATGTTTGGCTGGAAAGATGGCCAAGGAAGGATATTTATAATTCAGCAATAGTCTTTATAATTCTCTATACAACCCACAGTCTAATTATACAGAACACAGGTTTATGCCTAAAACATTCTGATTTTCCCATACCTCCCCAACACATCTCTTTTCTACCTATAATTTAATAAACTGCTTGCTTAAAAATGTCTCCTAATTCAATGGATCACAGTGTATGGAATCACTGTACCTGTCAATCTTTATACTCCTCCCATAAATTGTTCGTCCCTCAAATACTGCATTTCTGTAAGTTAGAGGTTCATTATAAATACATCTGCATGCTAATTGCTTATCTGTAATAC